AAGTAGCCAGTAAGCCCCACATTTACACAACCAATCCATGCCTGCTCTGGGTCTCCCCGCAGCCCCTGGTTGCTCGGCAGCCTCAGCCCCTGAGACCATGCTGATCAAAAGTTATTAAAAGCTTTTCTCTATGTCAAGGGGTGTGGCGGCTATGACACCGCCTTCGCCACGAAATCAGTTGGCTTTTTGATGGCTTCAGCAACCTCATATCCTCACGAAATTGATACACAGGTCAAGAATGGCGAGCTCTTACATCTGGTAGGGCTGTTGCCCATGGGGGGGACAAAATGTCTCTATAGTCCCCCTTGAAATTTTTAAAAAAACCCTCCCCATAGGGATTTTCTTGGAGTACGAAGATGAAACGTCACACCACGTCAGGGTTAACTTACTCTGAGTTTTCACATCACTGCTTCAGTGATGCGTGCTGCTGGCCCCCGCGATAGCGCGGGAAAGCGAGGGCCCGGTCACAGCTGCTTGCAGCTTTAATTAGGGCCCGAGCGACGACGAAGTCGTCTGAGGACCCTATTGAAATCGCGCTGTTTATTATTATTATTATTATTCTTTACCCGAATTCATGCCCCAATTTCGCCCCTTTCCCAAACTTGAAAATGCTTCTAACTTTCCACATTCGTCCGGCCATATCCGAAATTCGATATTTTTGGGCGGTTGCGCATGGTCGGCATGAAATGCCTAAACAGCGCCCCCTACAAATTTTCAAAATACCCTCCCCTTTGGGGTTTGTTTGTCATAGGCAAACGAAATTTGGTACGCACATGTATCATACCGAGACGCACAAAAAAGTCTCTTGATGTCATGGTAAAATCCCAACAGGAAGTCAGCCATTTTCTTTTGAATTTTTTCTTTACGGCGATTTCCACAACTTACATTCGAACGAACTTGTCCTAGGGATTTCGTCCTATCGACTTCAAAGTTGGTACAGATCATCCTGAGCACATGCTGATCAAAAGTTATTAAAAGCTTTTCTCTATGTCAAGGGGCGTGGCCGCTAGGGCGTGACAAATTTTGGCGACTTTTCGTTTTCTCACCATCGATTTTTGAGTGGCTCTCTCACCAACATACTTGATCTCAGCAGCTTCAAACTTGCTGGACATGATGATGTTTCCCCCCGAACGCCCCGATATGTTAATATCCCACCTTACTTATAGAGCCCCCCAGTGGTGACAGGAAGTGACCAGTTTTTACTTTAACATGTACTAATGCCACAAATTTGACTGCATCAACTTCATTCCACTTCTAATGCATGCAGAACAAGTTGGTGAAGCTACCTTATGAACACTGTGAAGCTACGTCTAATGGTGTCCATGTGGCGGCGTGGCGACTATTTATCCCTCACCACTAAATACTTTTGGCATTTTGATGGCTTCAACGACCTCATCTCCTCATGAAAATTGATACACAGGTCAAGAATGGGGAGCTCTTACATCTGATAGGGGCGATGCCCATGGGGGGGACAAAATGCCTCTATAGCGTCCCCTTGAAATTTTCAAAAACCCCTCCCCGTAGGGTTTTTTTTGGAGTAGGAACATGAAAATTGGTACACGTGTATGTTGTCCAGACGCACATAAAAGTCTCTGGCACCAATGGTCTACTCCAAAAAGGAAGTCGGCTGATTTGATTTTGACTTGTCATTTTGGCGTGATTACCACATGTTGTATTTTAATGAACTAGTCCTAGGGATTTCATCCAATCGACTTCAAATTTTTTAGAGATCATCCAGAGACCATGCTGATCAAAAGTTATTAAAAGCTTTTCTCTATGTCAAGTGGTGTGGCCGCTATACCGCCTTCCTCGCCTCTATAGCGCCCCCTTGAATTTTTCAAAAACCCCTCCCCTTAGGGTTTTTTTGGAGTTGGAACATGAAAATTGGTACACATGTGTATGTTGTCCAGACGCACATAAAAGTCTCTGGCACCAATGGTCTACTCCAAACAGGAAGTCGGCCATTATTCCGACATTTCACCCCCTTCCGAAATTTCAAAATGCTTCTAACTTTCCACATTTGTCCGGCCACATCCGAAATTCGATATTTTTGGGCGGTTGCACATGGTGGACGTGAAATGCAGAAATAGCGCCCCCTGCAAATATTGAAAAACCCCTCCCCATTGGGGTTAGTTTGTCGTAGGCAAACGAAATTTGGTAAGCACATGTATCATACAGAGAGGCACAAAAAAGTCTCTTGACATCATGGTAAAATCCCAACAGGAAGTTGGCCATTTTGTTTTGAATTTTTTCGGTACGGCAATTTCCACAACTTAAATTTGAACAAACTCCTCCTAGGGATTTCGTCTGATCGACTTCAAATTGGCTACAGATCATCCAGAGACCATGCTGATCAAAAGTTGTGCTCTGCATGTCTGTATGTCAAAAGGCATGGCTGCTATGTTGCTGCCATTTTTGATCCATCGCCATGCATATTCAAGCAGCTCTCTCTCCCACATAATTCATCCAAACTGCTTCAAAATTTCTGTACATGATAAGAGCCCTGCCCTCAACGCCTCCATATGCTCATAAGCAATCTTGCTCATGCTGCCCCCTTGTGGAAACAGGAAATGCCCTCTCATACATTGACATTGTCCGATTTGCTCGAAACTTCACATGTGTGATGAGGGTCCGCCCCTGGACACACCTGCACACATTTAATTACACTCCCAGTGCCCCTGGTAGATGAACAAAACATTGCGTTTTTTCGCTCCCGCCAGGTTTTTCTCCCTTTTCGCTTCGCGGCACAGCCCCCATGTGCCTCAGGCCCCCGTGGTTGCATGGGGGAGCGAGAGCCTGATCACAGCTGCTTGCAGCTTTAATTATTATTATTATTATTCTTTATTCTTTCTTCCACCGTCTCTTTGAGCTGGAATTTGACCACCTAAACATGCTCAAAAATTCTCCAATATTGGCATGCATGTCAGGACTGGCAAAAAATTTGACAAAATTCAAAAATGAACCCCAAAAGTACCAAAATGGGCTCTCTAGCACCACCTAGACACACTAAAATGGCCGCTGTGGCCAGTAGGAATGTCGTACAAAGATCAAACTAAAACTGGCTTGTTTGTCTCATCAAGACCAACAAATCACATCCTGACACCCCTGACTTTAATCCAACAGGAAATGGGCCACTGCCTCTGAAAGTAACATGAGTAAATGTGTAAAAATTGTCAGCTGTGAGCTAGAGTGAAGAGGGGTTTAAAACTGTCTAAAACTTTTGTCTTTAACTGTCTACGTGCGAGTCCGAGGTCCCACCCAATGCTGCTTGCAGCTTTAATTTTTATTGTTGTTGTTTTTGTTGTTATTTTTATTATTAGCAGTGTTGATGCATTTGTGATTGTTATTATTGTTGTCATTCATTTAACTTATTTATTCCTCATTTACTTTATTGCTTCGCATCCCTCTTTCGCTTTCTTTCTTTTCTTTTTCTTTTTTTGATTTTCCTCCTAATACCCCCCCAATTGTTGTTTTCTCCTTCTTTGACTAGTTGTTTTTATTTAGTTTCATTTATCTCCCCGTACACTAATTACACAAAAACATTACAACACACACACACATACACACACACACACACACACACACACACACACACATATGATCATACACCATCAGTACCATCCCCCTCTTAATGTCCCCACAGGGCAGTCCTGGCTGCTAGCTATATGTTTGACCATTCGTGGATACATTCTTGAGCATCTTGTTGCTGCACGAGAGATGAATACAGGTTTCCACCAGGTCTACACATGTGAAGGTTGCTGATGAGGATGAGCACCCCCTCCGATGGGAGTAGGGGTTGCTCACCATGCTGTCAGCTTCTACAACTTATATAGTATGTTTCTGCCCAATCTTGTATTTTTTCTTCTGTCTGCTTCTATGTCCTGTGCTTGTGTTCACTTGTTATCACTGCATAACACAATAAAAATAAAGATACAAAAAAAAAGTTGAAATAAATGAAATTTTTTATGAAATGTACGTTTATGATTACATAAGATATACTTCATGATCCCAGAATATACTATGTGGGCATTTATTTTGAAAGGACAGACACAAGAGGAGGCCATGCACACTCAGCCATCGGACATTAGTCACGTTACAAACCAATCACAGCTGACAAATGTATTTCCCTTTTTTGAAATATTCAGTCTGTGTTAAATACGGAAAAGTTGATCATTTAATGCAGGGCTACCCAGAGCTTTATATCTGTCCCAGGGATGATAGGTCTACAAACTTATAAACAGTGCCTGAAAGAAGATCAGCTCTACACTCAGATTTCAGATAAATAGGCTATATGATGCTTGTTAAGGTTGCTTAGCAACCTCAGACGCAACCTTCCACCACGCTCTTGAAAGCAAGCACACTCTACATGCCAATTAGCCATTTTTACACAGTCATTACTGCTTTGCAAGGTTTATTAGTATATGGTTTTGTATTTCTCTGTGATGTAGCACAGTGTTAACGATGCTACTTATACTATTCTTTCTCATACCTTGAACTCAAACCATTGTGTTGCCCTGCCCACAATATATAATTTGATAATTAAATTAATATCATAAGCATGCTGGCAACTCATTAACTCTTGGCCCTAAATGACAGTCAACCTCCTTGAGCTACAAGCAGTGCTTTTGGTCCTCCAACACTTCAGTGTGCAAATGCATGCTTGTGATTAGAGGAGTATTACCCAAAAACTCCAGTAGAAGGCTCCACCTGTTCTAATAGAACTAGGATTATAATACTGTAAACTTCATTACTGGTAATCTTAGAGATTATTTTCCATATAAAATATGTCATCATATGTCATTATAGATATGTTTTAACCCAAAAGTGCAGTTCCATTTTTCTTCACGGTGTAATCTCCATGGAGAGAATTTTATTTTGCTAAGGTAAACAAACAGGCATTCAGCGAGCAACCATGAAATATCAAGGCATGATTTAGAGTATCCATATTCTACAATTGGTTGATTAGATCATAGTTTAGCAGCCACACAAATGAAACGCACCTTGTCTTTGTAGAACCATCGTAAGGTGGGGTGGGGTGAACCTCGAACTGTGAACTCTATGCATGTGTCATGGCGCCGCTCTGGCTCCTTCAGCCTCACGATGGAAGGAGGAACTGAGGAGACCAAAGGGAACAGAGGACAACATTAAAACTTTTATTTATTTACATCACATGTACCTGCACTGCAGTGATTGTCAGTCATTTCACTGGATTGTGGTAGTACGTCAAAAAACACCAGAGGAAATACTGAGACAGAAATGGGAGAGACATTGATTATCATTTTAATATGCTGGTCTCATTCATATCTGTCCCAACTGATTCAGAGTGTTTGCGTGTGTGTGTTCCCATTCTCGTGACAAAACTGAGAGCAACAAAACTGGTTCTAAATGCAAACACAATTTGCTGTTTGCGTCAACAGTGTTGTCAAATATTCCACAAAGGACTATAAGAAATTCAAAGCAGCGCCAGTAAAAGATGATTGCTGTTATTAGTCAGTCCACTACAAATAGAATTTATTGTTTCAAGTGTACACACACATTCAGACACATACACATACACATCCTAGAGAATATATCAACAGGGTTGCTTGGATGAGTTTCACAAGATCCAGAAGCTCAGAAATGATTTGTAGAGTGTCCATGTATCTGACAGTGAGTGTCTGTGTCAGGGGGGAAAAGGAGCTCCGGATGAAAGCACCCCTGGGTGTTACAGTAAAAAAAAAAATTCCAGTAAAATTAATAGGACTACATCCATGCTAGCAGCACCTAGAGGATGCAGTGGTCATTATACATCTCAGGGTTTAAGCCCCTCTGGAACACCATCCTGACAGTTTTGCTATTGTTAAACACAATCATATTTTTTATGATGTGTAATGTAAATGGTAAATGGACCTGCACTTGCATAGCACCTTTCTAGTCATCTGACCACGCAAAGTGCTTTTTGCACCGAGTCACATTCTCCCATTCACACACACATTGATACACTGGTGGCCGAGGCTACTATACAAGGTTCCCTCTGCTACTCAGTTTTTAACACATCCACACACACTGATGGAACAGCCAGTGGCAGCAATTTGGGGTTCAATATCTTGCTCAGTGATACTTTGATATGCAGACTGCAGGAGGTGGGGCTCGAACCACTGATCTTCCTTACACAACACCAGCTCTACCCCTGAGTCACAGCTGCCCAAACAACACTGATGGTGACAAACCCACACAGAATGATTATCAACTCTGCAGTTCCCCTCCACTGTACTTGTTGCATACACTTGTGGGTGCCTTCCTCAGCTACCTTAGCAGGTATCTATAGCCATTGGCCAGGAGCAGATGTCATCAGGTGGTGCTCAACCTTCACAGAGTGTTTCGGCCCTCAACCACAACACTCTCTGGTTGGTTGGTGGGCCGGCAGTGAGTGGCCAACTCACTGCCCACCTGCTCCTGGCCTCCAGCCTTCCTCCTCTCGCTTGCTCCAAATCCAACACGAGGCACGTTCCGCCTTCTCCCCCATCCTACAGGCAGCTTGCTTCTTGCTCTGCTTGTTTAGGCCCAGAGCTAACAGCAAACGCCATGCCGACTTGGCTGGGAAGCCCCTGCACCCAGTCTCTACAGGGAACAACTACGCCTGCCAGCCCTTGTCTCTGCAGTCTTGGATTAGAGGTTGGTACTTAGAGGCCTTCCTCTCATGGGCCACTTCGCAGCCTTCCTCCCATGGCACCGTCAGTTTGACCAGAATTATCTTCTGGTCCTTGGTTGACCACAGCACAATATCTAGCTGGAGGGTTGTTTGGACCACTTCCGGGAACTGCAGCCTCCTTCCTACATTAACACTCATCTCCCAGGAGCTTGCGGCTTGAAGAATGTTGGGCTTTCTTCGTGTGGTCGGAATAGGCCTAGCTCCTTCCTTATGGAAAGTGATCGCTCTCCCTGAGACTGTGCCAGCTGGCCTCTTTTTGCCTCTCTCCTGCTCTAGTGTCAGCGAGTGAGAAGAGAACTTTGTCATCTATACTGCCCTTGGGTTAAAGCTGTTTTGCACCCAGACAGTATGTGTGCCAGAGTCCCCTTCTGGCCGCAGAGCTTGCAGAGTGGATCCTCTCTCAGCCCCCATGTGTGCAGATGTGATGGAGAAGGAAGGGTGTCATATACCGACCTCAAGAGGATGGAGATACGGCAAGGCTCCAGTCGCCACAGCTCTCGCCACGTGATCTTGCGCTTGGGCAGATCCCATTTTGTCCAAGCCCCCTGGGAACCTTGTTCCACTGCCCTGGCTATCCGTTTCTCCTCCTCCCTGCTCCGGACCTCTGCCTGCACCATGTCTCGTCTGGTCCTTGCATTTGCGTCTCCCCAAGATTGGAAATGAACAGAGCCGAGGCCTTGCCGATGGACGCATTGGTGCCGATGATGTCTTGCATCTTGAAAGAGCACACTGCCTGCTCCACAGTTGCATTGGCAGCCCACTTGCTCCCGGACCTGGTTGTGACACCTGCTTGTTTTACCAGGTCGTCATTGGAATCCCTCAGGCTTAACACAACTCTACACTTCGCAACCTTGTACTCCTCCACGACTCATGACAGGGGGAGTTGCAGCTGCCCAGACCGGATGTAAAGGCCCACTGAGGAGAAACTTGGGGGAATTCCCAGCCATCTTTGTATATGCTTGTTGGTCTTCCGCTCAATGGTCTCTACGGCAGTCATGGGGAACTCGTAGACAGTGAAGAGCCAAAGGAGCCTGGGCAAGAGGCCGTGTTGGTACAGCCAGGTCTTGAACTTGCCCGGAAGTAAAGATTTACCAATCTTCTTCAGCCACTCCTCAGTCTGCTTCACAGCCTCAGCAACATTGGCGCCACCTGTCAGTGACTCGTTGAACCACTTCCCCAGGCACTTTATTGGATTGTCCTCGATGGATGGAATGACCTCACCCTGAACTTGGAGACTGAACTTGCTGGTGACTCTGTCCTTCTTAATAACCAAGCGCCTGGACTTCCTGGCTTTGAACAGTATCCCTGCCCACGAGGCAACGCTGCCCAAAGTTTCCAATACCCATCTTGCTTGGGCGTGAGTCACAGTTGTTATTGTGATATCGTCCGTGAATGCTCGCAACACTGGCTGGACTCCAATTTAGGGCCCTGGGTTATGCCCTCTGCTGCAGATATTAGTAAGTTTATTCCCATGATGAACAAGATGGTGGAGATGGTACACCTTGTTGGAATCCCCTTTTGGAGGTCCAGCCAGCTGGTGGTGAAAAGGGCTGATGTAAATCTGAGTTTGAACCCAGCCAAATAGGTGGTGATCATGTCTCGAATCACCACTGGGATGTAATAGTGGTCAAGTCCTTCTTGGATGAGGTCATGTGGGATTGACCCGTAAGCATTAGTGAGCCAGACAATTGTTAGGTCGCTTCTTTTCTGCTTTGCTTCTTGAATTAATTGGCTGATCGTCAAGGTGTGTTCCAGACAGCCCAAAAAGCCTGGGATGCCACCTTTCTGGATGGATATATTGATGTAGTGGTTTTGCGTCATCTAAGAGGTGATCCTTCTCGCCAGCACTGAGAAGAAGATCTTGCACTCTACGTTCAGGAGGGAGATTGTCCTGAACTGGGAGATTGCGGAGGACCCCTCCTCTTTCGGAACAAAACATTCCTCTGCCAATTTCCAGCTTGGTGGAATTGTACCCTTGGCCCAGATCTTCCTCATGATCTTCCACAACCTCCGAAGGATTTTTGGGCATTTCTTGTACACCTTATATGGTATACCACTTGGGCTGGGGGCAGCTGATGATTTGGCTTTGCGGACGATGTCCTGAACTTCCTGCCATGTGGGTTCCTTCGTATTCAGCTCAGTTGATGGTTTTCCAGGCCTAGAGATACTGAAGTTGGCTCCCGGACCCTGACTCCTATTGGGGTCTCTGTGAGCTTCCAAAAGGAACTCTTCTACCTCCTACTTTGAACTGGAGAGTGTGCCAGATTTTTGTTGGCCAAGAAGTGTCTTTGTGAAGCTGTATGGATCTTTGACAAACTGTGCTCGCCTGTGCTTCTTCTGCCACTGCTGCCGAAGGTATTCTGTTCTCCTGACCTTGCACAGTTGTTCCCGCAGCTTGCTTGTTAGGTCTTTGATACCTTCTTTCTCGGTCGGTGAGCTGGTTTTGAACAGTTTGTTGAGTGCCACAGTGCTGCTGTGGTTGAGGCTGGCCTTTCTGCTCCATTGTGCCGAACCGTTCCTTGGCGAGGTTGTACACTATGGTCGTGATTGAGTCAACCTTCTTGTGTACTGGGCCTGATGATGTTGCTTCCAGGATGCCATTGAGGTCGTCGTCAAGCTGCATCCACGCAATGTTGTCTGACATCTTTGGCCATTTGATCATCTCTCTCCTAGCCGAATGGATTGGGGTTACCAGAGAAGGGTTCATGTGGACTGGTCTCTGGTGCTGGGGCTGCTCAAGTGTGGAGAGATCTTCAGCACTGTGGGGTGCTTCCTGGCTGGAGTTCTCCATTGTCTGACCAGACTCTGGGTCTGTGCGCTGCTCTTGAGTCGCTGATGTTCCACACCTGAACCTGCTCTGGTGTTGCTTGAGCCCTCTGGTGCTTTTGCAGACTTTCCCGCAATGACACCTTATGGTGAATTCCTCTCCGGACAGAGTGTCTCTTTGGTATTGGCCCGCCTGTTTTCGGTCAGTCTCACCACTCTCATCAGCACCATTTTTTGCCATATCAGGCAGCTGTTTTCAGTGAAAACACTATGTACACTTCCTGCTCAGCAGCAAACACAGACACAGTCAGAGACGAGCTGGTGAACATAGTGGAGCGTTTAGCAGCGAGAGAGGCAGGTATTTCCCTCAGGAGCTCGTGGAGACCAAAACCCGAGCTGAAAGGGAGAGAATGTTGGACTGACGTTCATCAGTTTATACAAACACCATTAAAAGTGACAATTGCTTTGTTAACTGTTAACTAAATCATTCAGCATATCAACCTAAATACTGATGATATATCAGCATTGTATTTACAATGAGGAGGTGAATTCATGATACTTCCCTGCCACAGCTCCCTGTTTTCAGTTTTGAACTTATCTCATTCAAGCTGGGCTGCTCTCACCCAGTTCTGTGTGTGGTGATATATAATCCTCCA